ACAGCAGCAGGCTTGTCACTAGTATCCAAGTGAAGATTTTGTGTTCGTTCCCATGACTCTCAACTTGAGTGCCGTGTGATCTTTCTAAGGGTGCTGTGGGGTGCCATGCAACATTAGCACTCTTAAGTGTGCATACACCTCCACCTTCCCAAGATAAACCCAGAGATTTCAAACAAGAATCCACAGCAACATCCTGACCTTCCTGAAAAATGTTTCCACTAGCTTATTCTATACAACTCCCTTGTTCACCATTTGAAGAAAACACCCCTGTGACTGGGCACCAGATCAGGTGACAGTTCCTTGTCCAGGGCTAGGAGAAAGCCTCCCTCTCTGTGATTTGTTATCCCAGTCACATGTCAGTTCTTGTTGCAAGAAAGTGTCTCTGTGATTGGTTAGCGCTGTCACATGACCAGGGCTACTGCTGCTCTGCTTCTTTCCCCAGAAGCCAGGGCTGGGCAGCTGTTAGTTCGCCTCCTCTCCTCTGTCTCCCTTCCCCTCTCCTCTGCTAGGGGTCTGCCAGGGAGGGACCTTATTTAAAGTTCCTTTTGTTACCAGCCAAGCTGGGGATTGTCTCAGACTGTAACTAGCAACCTAGGGAAGCCCTGGACTCTGCACTTCTAACTCCTGAGCCGGAGACTCCAGGTAATTGAGAGAACTCGGGAAACATAACTATGAAAAGCCCCCAATCTCCCATGTTTCTGCTCCTTGTTTGCCTGCAAGTCCCTGATCTGCTGGCTGTACTGACACACACAGGAGCTGATGCAGCTGTGGGAGAGCTGATGCCCCCGGAAGTGGAACAATAACCAAGTTACCAGTTAGAGGAGATGGGGGAGGGACAGTGACGGGAAAGACAGGCTAAAAGAGACAAGCTTCCAGATATGTGCTATGCAGACCCGTGGCAGCATCACTGCTGGGAAGATTAGTCTAAGGGAGATGAAGAAAGTGCCCTGTATCTTCCTAGTTACTGTGTGGGGAAGTGATGCTCTCAAGGAGGTTGGCAGGAACCTGCCCTACTCCAAACTGTAGCTTCTGTTAATTCTTCTCTTTTATAGAGATTTGCTCAGGCCCTAAAGTGGGGTGAGGATTCTAGAGACATCCTGATGCATTTAGTTTTCATGGAAGGTGGTATGTCTAAGTAAAGTGTCGTTTCCAAGCTCATTAGGATTTCTGTACCAAAAGAAAGAGCCACTGGTTTTAAAATGGGCTGCAACTCCTTGTGAATCCTCCCCAGGTAAGCTTCTTTGAGTAGATGTGATATCTTTTATTAGACCAACTGCATAGCTAGAAAAAAGTTCTTAGCAAGCTTTCGGGCACAGTCACCCTTCTTCAGGTATACACGGCTACAACCAAAAACCCAGTTAAGCTTAGCATCCTGACAAGCTTCAGAACAACATCCATATATCACACCAGCTCACCGATCTCCCTAGATCAGGCAAATTAAATGAATGCAGAAGGCCTGATGGAGAGAACTACTGAAAAGGATAAGGAAGCAGTAAATTCAGGGAGGAAAGAGAAAAAATAGAACAGTGTGGCCATCCCTCTTGCAATATTTGGTAATTTCCTTATAGTTTCAGCTTCCAAGGCCCTGTGATTATAGAAGACTCTCAGCTTGTATGAACAATAGCAGTGTTCTAGCTCATACAGTTTGAGGCAAAAAGATTCAAAACATAACTCCTAAAAGCTGAAAACCAAGAGATTAGAAATTTAAGTTTTAAATTATGATTTTTCATCAAATCATGATATTCAAGCACTTTGGTTAGCAATTCTTTAATGAAGCATAGGCAACTGTGCAAGACAGTTGAGTGGGAGCAGACTATTAGCCCTGAACAGTCCTGTGTCAGCTACAGCTCTTGCTCCGACAGGTCTGTGCTCTAGTCAGGGGTTTCCATAGCCCTAAAGAAATTGTATAGGAAAGACTGTCCCCTTCTTTGGGAAGGAAATTCAGAACCCGCTCACAGATGTTAATCTCCCTCCATCCAGAGTTTCTGGTGTGGAGAGAAGTGTAACATAAAATTGTGCTCACTTGCACACATAGGATCATGGTTTTCTTCACTATTTTTGCTCTCTAATGAGCCATGATCTCTTGCTGGGTAGAAATAGTACAAGGAGCTGTTTATTGTGTTCTTCTTAAGTCCCAGTTTTCAACTGACTTTCTCAAGAGCTATTTCCCTTTCATGACCTCTCCTGTAGAGACACTGGCTGGATGTTAAAAATTTGGAGAGCTCTTTGTAGTGAACAGTCAGTCAAGATGTGACAACCCTGATCTTGTCCATTTCTGTCCTAAGCAGGATTTCCCATTACTAAACCAGACATGATCTCTCGCTTGGAACAAAAGAAAGAGCCATGGGTTCTCCGTGTCCAGGGCTATGAGGAAAAAGAGATTCTGAATGGCATGAGAACAGGTGAGGAATGAATGAAATGTAGAATTCCTGCAGCCTCATCGTGAGCCACCACAATTTTGTCTTGTTTGGATGTAAACACTATTATAATTAGCATGTCCTCTTCAAATTTTTGCAAATGTGTATCCCACTCAAGGTGTGTGTGTTCACAGCTCATGGAACTGGGTTCAGAATCTTTAACTAGCATTGGCCTGTGGGATCATACGTGCATCCTGCATGTTCTTTTCCCCTGCACCTAATGGTGTAAGAGGTAGAATGGTCACAACTATCCTTCTTGTAAAAATATATATATATATTGGGCTTCTCCCCTGCAGTATTTTGTGTCTCTTAACTCTGTATAGTTTGTCAAAAAAAATTTTTACCCAAGACTTATCCATTATGTTCTTAAT